GCTATAGATAAAAATTTAACATTAAAAATTATAATATTTTTAATTTTATAACATAATTTATATTTAAATATTTACCGGATGAGGTGGTCTTGGCTGTGGAATATATACTGGACGATTATTGCCGGGGGCAGCTTTACGACGCTCACGCCCTAGATCAAAATTTAACATTAAAAATTATAATATTGTTAAATTTGTAACAGAGTTTATATTTAAATATTTACGGGATGAGGTGGTCTTGGCTGTGGAATATATACTGGACGATTATTGCCGGGGGCAGCTTTACGACGCTCACGCCCTAGATCAAAATTTAACATTAAAAATTATAATATTGTTAAATTTGTAACAGAGTTTATATTTAAATATTTACGGGATGAGGTGGTCTTGGAGGTGGAATATATACTGGACGATTATTGCCCGGTTCAGCTTCCGGTTCAGCTTCACGGCGAATACGCTATAAATAAAAATTAATATAAAATTTGTTACAGAATATTATTATATTATTAATTCTTCAACAAAATTCATAAATATTTAAATATTTATCGCTGTATTTCTTAATTTACGTAGATTATGTTAGAATAAAAAAAACTTTTTATTTCATAATTAAATTAAATTTCTGTTTAAATTATAATACATTTGATAATTATCAAATTATAAATAATTTTTTTTCGAAAATATGTCTTTGATCTTACCGCAGGTTGAGTAGGCGGATCTGGGTTGTTATTCCCAAGTACCGTGACTATAAAGGTAATAACAAGAATTGCTAAGGTAAAATTCTTCATGATTATCTGGATAAAAACAAAAGAGAAGAAAATAAATAATGAAATCGTTACTTAACAATTAATCGTACAGAATAAGTGATTTTTATTTAAATCATAGATTGTATATTTTTCAATGTGTTTCTTAAGAATTATTTTTTATATATAATTATTTCTTACCAATAGTTATTCAACTGACACTAACTCTATGGATGAAGAGATACTGATACTGAACATAGCGATTTCCACGGTATTTATACATATTTTGATGTGTTAATCTTTATTTGCATAAAGTTCAAGGCTTGACAGTATTCGTTTGGGAATCACCGTTTATCATAATATTTATGTGATATTTTTTATGTTCTTTTTCTTTCTTATTTATCTTTCTGAGTCAATCATGTTAATAAATCATCTTGTAAGTGTATTGTACTTTTTATCATTATTGTATTCCTTTGAGTTATATTAATTATATTTTGGATAATTTTCTATTGTTATAGAAATTAAATTTGTCCATCAAATTGATAATTAATAAAAAACTTTTTTTAGTATGAATAATTGGAAAATTAATTTTAGTCAAATCAGTAATAAAATGTGTTAATTAAAAAATTAAAAATCGACAGATAAATAATTAGATGTAAGCGTTAATCCTTTTGCTATATCAACGTATCGAATCATTAATAATTAATAAAAAAATTATTCATGAAAATAATTTTATAAATTTCTTTGTGAAAATATATATATCAAATCGATTGTGGCATTTTTCGCATATAATATGTTTCGAGCTGTAAAAGAGTTAAAAATTGACAAATCAAATGACAAGTTATCTTCGTTTTTTGCTCGATTAACAGGTTAATGTTTTATAACATTTTTTTAAAAGTTAGTCGAATAGAAACTACTATAATCATTTTATAGATTAAAGTACATTTTTTAATTGAAATATATCAAGCATGTATGTACTTATTATTAGTTGTATCTTTGTGAGTATTGATCATCTGGAAATTACCGCAAATTTGCGATAAAGATTTGCAAATATAAAATTTTTCTTATTGAATTCTTACATATATTTAGCTCAATAATTCAATTTATTTTCATGTAAATAATTTGTAATATTAATTTATATATTTCATGTATTATTGTTAAATATTATACAAAATTAATTAATATCTGAAAAAATTTCATAATTAAGTATTTTTTAATTAAATTTTTTTACTAATTTATTTAATTATTATATCAAGTTATTTTATTTTTATAGAAAAAAATAAATGTTTCCGCCCAGGATCGAACTGAGGACCTTCCGCGTGTTAGGCGGATGTGATAACCACTACACCACGGAAACTGTTGGTAAGTGATGATAACTTTATACATATTATACTTAAAACAATTTCATTCACAAATAATTATTATTAAAACGTTAAATATTGATATTTAGAACTTCGTTTCTTTTTTAATAAAGAAAGTTGGTTAAAAGAAATAAGAATACAACTGTAAATTATCTTTTATCTATTTTTATTAATTTTATACAAATTGTATTAATTATAAAACAATTTAAGGCGCATTTTTATTTAGAATCTGCTTGCACGTTAGCCTCAAGCACCCGTTTCTCTTCCGATAACAATGAAACCTTTTCCTCGTATTTTTCTCGTAAATCTCGGAACAGACAAAGTTGCGTCTCGTATTCTTTCTTTAAATCCGCATTCAATTTCACCGCAGCATCCATTTTACTAATCATTGTATTGTATCGTTCTCGTTCTTCTGAAATTCGAGCCTCCATGTCATCCACTTCTGCCTATATCATTGCACAAGAATTAAATTAATTTTTTTTTTCTCCTTCTCCAAAAATTTTAAACGTTCAAATACAATTAATTTAAAAATAATTTCGATCTGATATCTCATATCCATTTACCTGCAAGTGCTTCACTTCCATGTTACGAATTTGCAACAGACTTCTAGTAAGAGATTCTACTTCTTTCAGTGAAGCCACTTGACTGTTCAATGCGCTAATCTGTTTCTCTTGATTAGCTACAGTACGGATACGATCCTCTAATTGCAACGAGGTCTGAATAAGTTTGCCTTTCAACTGATCTACCATCCGACGAAGCATCACCTCGTTACCTTCACCCTTCATCAGGGTATCATAGGACGATTGCAATTCGGTTAGTTTTTTCTCCGTGCTTTCCAACTGTTTTTGATAAGAATCTCGTTCGATAGAAACTTTCTGGAAACAGAAAATTATAAACTTATTACAATTACTTATTCCATTAAAAGATATAGGACTAGTATCGATCGATCTTTTTTATTCATACCGAAACTTCGTCTTTCAATTTCAATATCGTAAGTTCATTCTCAGTCGTGCCCTGATCATCTAATTTAATCTGTTCTATCTCTGAAGTAAATGATATTTTCTCGTCTATCTTCTGAAAATCGTTATTTTCATTTTGTTTTGGCGAGAAAGCGAAGCAAGTGTCTCCTGCGCCTATGGTTTGTTGGACATTTGACTGGAAAATAAATTGAAAATAAAATTAATAACCGGAAGATAATAAAATTATTCCGAGTATTATTTTATTTTAATTCATATACACTTTAACTTTACCAGTTGCTCATTTTGCTTCACGGTTGTTACACTATCCTTCACTTCTTTTTCTGCAAGCGAGGTTTCATAGGCAACTTCTATATCTTCAACGACAGTCTGATTTATTTCTTTAATAGGCATTTCTGAGGTCTCGCTTTCTGTGTTGCACAACATCTTACACTCCGTATCTTGCATCGATGCATTTTGTTCTTCTGTTAACGAGACTGAATTTTCGATCTCACTTTCCTTTTTTACATTATCTGTTATGGACGTTGCCGATTCAGATAGATAGGAGTGTTGATCAGTTACTGATTTGAGCGTCTTATTGTCTGACATTTTTATCTGCAAGAAACGTCACTTTTATACATATGCATACGTAGCATGAAAAACAGAGGAAAAACGAATTCGTTTCTGATATATTTTCACTGTGTTCATTGTTATCTAAATTACTGGCCGAACAATTTTCTTATGCACAAAATAATATTATAATATATGTATATATATATATATATTTCATTTTTATGGTTTGATTGTTTAGGTAATGCGTGCACGCGATCGGAATCTAAATTTTTACGTATAAATTTTTTTATTTAAATTTAGTTTAGTATTTGAATTCGTATTATGAATCTTGAAGTACGTTAATAATATCAATTTTTTAATTACCAAAAGAGGTAAGATACAATGGGTTAAGTCTTAAAAATTGATGTTTTCTTTAAATAATGAAAGTTTCTATCACGCAAAAACAACTGGATATCCAGAACTATATAACAGAAAGTATGATTTATTTTTGGACATTGTCCGCTTGATTCTATTTTAAACTATCATTTAAACGTGCCAGTCTAGTATGCACAACAAACTATAAGCCGTATATTTAAATCGAGTACATAAAACTTGTCATTGATTATTCGTTCGAATTATATTATTGATTATGCGGTTATTTATGACGAAATATATGCGTATTAGAATCTATTCGTACATAATTTTATTTCGAAATATATTATATATCACGCAATGTGAATCGGAATTAAAACATCGTTTCTACAAATGAACTCAAATATAATCATGAAAAGTGCAAAAACGAAATGATTTTATGAAATAACCATAAAAAACATTTGAATCATTTTTTGAAAAATTATTAATTGTATTAAATTGTAAAATATCTCTTTATTTTTATATAATTATAAGGAACTTTTATTTGTATGAAAATTCATTAACGTAGTTACATTCACCACAGTGTCGTGCTCGAGGCATTTTCTTCCTCAGTAGCAGAAATTTTGAAACGAATTTTATGGTAAATACATAAAGAATTTTTATATTTGTAACGAGAATAAGATTTTTAAAGAATATATATCAATATTTCGAATTGTTATACACATGTTATTTTAGTATGCACGAAAATTAATCACATAACCTCATTTATGCCATACATTATTTTGCTTATATTTCTTTCTGTGCTTTATATAGGTACATATAAATACATAATTTTTACGTAACATATTTATATGAACAAAATAAATATGAATAGAGTGTTAAAAAAATATTACTATCAGAATAAAAATTATAACAAACTATGTGGTTAAAGGTTATTTTTAATAAGTATCTTTATTGCACTTTATATTGAATCAAAAAATTTAATATGCATATAAATTAAATATTTACAGTCACTTTTTATTAATTATTAAATATATTTTTTTTCTAATTATATTTTCGTAATATATATAATTTGTTATATCATAATATTAATTATTTTATATATATATTATATATATATATAAACAATAAAATAATAATAACTTTATTATTATTATTAATAATTATTTTATGATTTTAAATATTAAGAAATATTTTTTTTGTAGATTATCAATTGAGGAATGGAAGAATACGCAAGAGAACCATGCCCATGGCGTATAATAGATGACTGTGGTGGTGCATTTACCATGGGTGCCATTGGGGGAGCAGTATTTCAAACTATTAAAGGTTTTCGTAATGCACCCAGTGGAATAAACAAAAGAGTTTTAGGAAGTCTTACAGCTATTAAGCAAAAGTCTCCTATTATTGCTGGAAACTTTGCATTATGGGGTGGTATGTTTTCCACTATAGACTGCACATTGGTTCATCTTAGAAAAAAAGAAGATCCATGGAATTCCATTATTAGTGGAGCAGCCACAGGTGGAATATTAGCAGCAAGAAATGGTTTACCAGCCATGGCTGGTAGTGCAATTATTGGAGGAGTATTATTGGCTTTAATAGAAGGTGTAGGAATATTTATTACTCGTCTCTCTGCAGAACAATTCAAGCCACCATCATTTACTGAAGATGCAAATCCTTTAAGACAACAAGGTCATCCATCGTAAAGCATATAAATATTTAGACATTTTAAATTACACACCACTAATTAAGTACAAATGTTTCATATTCTCTGAAACGATAGTAGTTGAAAGCTATCATTGCCAGTACATCAAATTTGTATAGACAATTCTTCAACTCCTTGATTTAAGAAATAATAATAGTTTGGTTTTTATTTAATGCTGTTTTTGTACTTTTATTTAATTGTTAATAAGGTAAAATGTATTAAGACAGAAATTTATTAATATGAAGTATATTTATAAAATGAATTAATATATTTTTCAGTTGTAAACAAATTTATCAAACTGACAAAATTATTAATAACAATATGTATAAAATGTATAGTTTTTAATATTTTTAAGTTACAAAAATTATTCGTTCTAAATATCATCTTCATCTTCAATTTCTTCTTCAAAATGTTTAAAGGCTGATGCTACAGACAAGTCTAGTGATTTGTTTGTAGAGTCTTGTTGAATATCATTTTCAGGTTCATATGAAGAGGAATTTTCTGTTGTGCCTTTTAATGATTTGTTCATTAAGCCCAATAAATGAAGTTGTTCCACCTAAATATTTTATATTATATATAAAATAGTTTTTGTATTAAAACAAATGAAAAAAACAATTTTAAATATCATATTTACCTGTAATCTGTGTACTTGATCATCAATTTTTGTTAATATCTTTTGAAGAAGTTCTTTTTCCTGTTTTAATTCTCTTTGGAAAGCCAATAACTCATTGGCACTTATTTTTATACTGTCCTCCAAATCGTCAGTTTCTTCCATTTTTTATTAATTACTCGATCATATTCACTTCTGAAAATTTGTTTTACCTAATTTGAAGGTTATGGCACAAACGAAATATACGATAGATTAAACATGGAACTTCATATTCTATGTTCTGAAATATCGATTGCATAAAAGAATGTTTGATATGCCCTCTATGATTTAGAGTGGTAGGTTTAGAAATTATATTTAATTCAATCACAAAATTTAATAAAAATTTAAAAAGATTTTAAAAATAATTTCTTTGAAATTATTCTTTCAGAAATATTTCTATGCTTATTTATATTATGCATTGAATTGTATTCATAGATTTTTTAATTTTATTAACTATTACCTAATAGTATTGCAGTGTTACCAATCATTTTTAATATTTGAACATATTTAAAATTCAGTATATATATTTATAAAGTTGATCAGCCTAGATTTCAAATATAAAAAAAAGTGAATGTGCATTAAGAAATTGAATTTGGGCTTGTGAAATAGTGAATTGAAATAGTGAATACATTATAAAAAAATAACATCATAATTAGTTAAATCATTTTATTTCGGAGTGAATTTTATAAGTTTTCTTTTGTAATGTATTAATATTTTATTCTTTCTACAGAATTCTAAATAACACTACAGAATAATCACAATTTATTATATCCAAATTTATTTTAGGTACAGAATTTTTAATAATCACAATATAATCTATATAACTACGATTATATTAATTCGTTAATTTTTAAGTCAAATTAAATTAAATAGAATCAATGCAAATCTTGTATTTATTTTAAAATTCATCATACAGTTCATTATTTTTTTATTTATACATTTCGATAAATTTAGAGTTTCTACAATGATATTTTTTTCTTATTGTATAATTGTTTACTTTAATAATATTTTATTGTATAGTGATGTGCATTGACATTCGTACAAGATTTGCATTAGATTTTATGTACATATACATACAGAAGATATTCAAATTGGGAGTACAACTATTGTTATTATGTTATCATTATAAATAAATTATAATCTATTATATAATACAATAATAATACGCTTAAAAAGATTTTTATTTTTATCAAAATTTAATTCTTTCTTTGAAAATGTAAATTTTTATAGCAATTTATATTGGTATGAAAATTAATTAGTGTTAAAATTTAATAATAGATAAAATAAGAACAAATGAATAAAAAATATTTAAAATAATTTTAATATAAGGATGATAACATCAAACAATAATTGTTCTCGTCAAAAAAAAAAAGACTATTTTCTAGATGCCATTAATCATAAGCATCTAAGAAAAATAGCTTCGTAATTTTTTTTTTTTTTTTTTAATATGCCGTGATCAATATCATTGGTATTTATAATTATATATAAATATTGTTATACCATTTACACAAACTGAGGTATATGGTAACCTTTCGGGAATTCTGTTCACACTGTCTTTACAGTATATAACTCAATCAAAAATAAATAATTCACATAAGTAGTACATACATCGTTCAATTTCTAATCTATGTTTGATTAATTTTGATAATTTTCAAAATCGCCAAAAGACTATTATATATTATTATAATGATTCCGTTCTAGTAAAATTGGAAATACTATAATTACTATTGCTGCTGCAGCAAGAAAATTCAAGTCAATTCAAATCACGCGATTTAAAATAACATTTTTTATTCTTTTAGTTTTCACCAATCATCGTTAAGTCGTAGGCCATATAAACGTTCGTTGCTGCAGCAAGAAACGCGTCAATCTTTTGAGGAAGAAGGTGGCGATTCCCGACTGTTATCGCTAGTAAAACTAGATAAACCGAGTCCACTGGTTTCATGACTCGAAGAACTAGTTGGCGAATTACTTGAACTTCTGGCGCCACTGAGTGAGCTTATAGTCGTACTCTCAGCTGGTATTAAACCTTCCTTCATTCTCTTCTTCTGTTTCATTCTTCTGTTTTGGAACCAAATTTTCACTTGTGTTTCGTTTAGTTGCAATGCTGACGCGATTTCAATACGTCTCGCTCTAGTCAGGTACTTGTTGAAATGGAATTCTTTTTCGAGTTCTGTAAGTTGCTTGTTCGTGAAGTTGGTTCGGCCGGTATTGTTGAAACTACCTGCAATACCGGCCATAGGTCCACCGGTAAGACAGTTCACTGGACCGTTCGCCGTGGTGGCGTACGGAGACGCATTCCCACCAGTGCTGCCGCCATATTCTCCAACATTTGGATTTGTCTTTGCTGCTGCAACAAATTTAAATTCTTCTTTTTATTTGAAAAACTTTTTTGCAAGGTACATTCAAAGTATATTTTTCATATTTCAAATAATTCCTTTTATATTTTATATTTATAAAGGTTTTTCTCTTTTATTTTCTCTTTCTAACCACTAACTAATACGAAAAAACAATTTGTAATAAAAATTGCTAGCAAACAAGTTTTGTCGTAAATATTACGACATATAATTAATTTAAGTTATAAAATTCTAATAATTAGATAGATGTTTTATTATTAATTTATATGACTTAGAAGAATTAATATATCTAACTTAAATTCCTTTTCATCTTAATTACAGATGTCAATTCGTACGTGTCAAACGTGTGCAAGAAAGAGGTTAAAAGTAATCTGTACAGAATGAAACTCAACTTTGGTCCACCAATCGACAGCCGTTTGTTGTCCAACACAGCTGGTCAGTGTTCTAAGGAGTGAACCTGTCCACCCTCTATCGAAGACCGATAGGGTTAAGCCCTAAATCTGGATCAAATTGCATCAGCTGTTGTCAAGAGTAAGTTGTTACGTTATTTTATTTAGCCCATATTTATCAACTGACCACTATCCTCATTTTGAAATCATTCTCAATTTACGTATACATATGATATTCTCTTCTACACATTTGATATCGATTGGATCATAAATTTGAACAAAGTTAATCTTAAAATACGAATTTTTTCAAATTGTTTACACGCGTGTTCATTAAATATAAAATATTTTAAGACATAACGAAATGCAACGAAATAAAGTGTAGTGAGGAATGCGTTCCGATAAAAAAAAGGTGGCGTCACTTACGCATTATGGAAATTAGATTGTTATTTAGTCTACCGGTATGTGGAAGTCAATTTACTTAATGGCACAGGGTGGACGAAACTGTCAAGCCACCGCCTTAGAGCCACATCTTCTTTTTCACTCGTGTTTGCCTGTATTGCTTCATTCCTTCCTTTCATCATTTTTTTCATATTTTATCCGATATTACAACTATTTAATCTATACTCAAACATAACCTAAATCCAAACTTAATCTAACTAAAGTCAATCAATTTATCTCGAGAAAATAGCACGAATAGATCTTATCTCACGTATTTTTCGAGTATAATTCCGAAAACATCAGTCACTTAAAAACTGTGTCCGGAACTTGGCCGCCGGCCATTAAGCTCACGCATCTTCAAGTCGAATAATCGAGTTGGACAAGTTCTATTAGTCCACGAGCCGATGTGGTACAATGAAATGTATTTCGTTTTCGCGACTCATTCATCAATTTAGCACTTTAACGGGAGGACAGAGCTACCGTTGATTTTCCGTACGTCAGATCGACCAAAGTCTCTATACACATCAGTGATCATTAATCTCGCATCAAAGTTCCTTTGGAATCTTGGATATTGCATTTTCAGAAAACATTCTACCTTAATAATAAATCAAATTATGCATTTTCGACGAAATGAGAAAGTTATTGGTTAATCTAAAATATATTTATACAAGATAAAATTGATGTTACTTTTAATTATATAATATAAAAAAAGAAAATAAAAAGGAACATTAATTTATATTAGATTCGAGAGTAGGATAACCTATAAAATTTTAGTTGGATATCGTGTACAATTTTGCTATGGTAGTTATGTCTGATTTCATTTCTTGAAAAGATAAATCCTAGAGTCGGATGAAAACATGCTTGGACGTGAATGAATGAATCATTTTCGATTAAGCATTACCACGATATACTGGTAATTATGACGTTCTTTCGCGATGGACGTTAATAGCATCGATTAAAATTATTAGCATACTTAACGACACTTAAATTTTATGGCACGACGTGTTGCCTTTTAGGTAATGTTGACAATAAGTAATATTAACAATAATTACTTATAGTTAGATATAGGATTAAATTAGAAATAAGATTACATCTTTTATTTATTTATTTTTTTTATTGTTCAATTTATTTTCTTTTTTAATTTATCATTTTTTTTCTTCTCATTCTAATTTATTATTATTTCATATCTCTTATTATTTATTATTATTAAATTGCGAATTTTCATGCGAATGAAAATAAAAGGAATACAATTAAAGGAATGGAATTAAAATAATAAGAGATTCGTATTATTCGTACATTTAAAATCTTCATAAATGAATAAATATTCGCAATTTAATTATACATTTTTTTTGTTCTTCAATTTTTTTTTCTTTTTCTCATTATAATCGTACTATTTATTATTATACATATAATAACGTGAATTCTTCCCAAGAATTAAATCTCGTTCGATATTTTCTCGAATCTTTAACGATGTTTGACAAGTAGTATATACGTGAAGAAATTTTTATAAAAAATATTTATCACTTTGACAATATTGAATTACAATTTAAAACGATCGTAGATAGATAAAATTCGTTATGTACAAATAAATTTGAACGATATGAAAATTATTGATTTTCCAAATAATCTATATATCATTTTTGTTATAATTAATTCGTAGTTCACAATAGGCGAATGATATCACGACGAGTGTATCGAGTGATCGGTTTGAATTTTAATCAGGCACGCAACGAGACGCGTAAGTCGTTCGAAACGAAATTTCACGGTTATAAATACGAAATATTTATACTTTCGAAAGAAGTTATTTAGAAGATCGAATCGTTACAACAGTGCGGCCAACAGCGAGCTAGTCGACAGTGAGGGCACTTTAAAGCTCGAACACGGATGTAATGTCCCTCGTAACACACGTTCCTGCTCACGCTTGTGCATAATATACCTGGTGAAACACATGCGGCCGCGGTTTCGAGGCATGCATGCCAGTCGCCAGGCTTCGTTCAAAGGCCCCCCCTCGATTAAATCTCACCTGGCTTAATATTATTATTTTACTCGTGGCACGTCTGTGCACGAGTGAAAACGAGCGAGAGAGGGTGGGCAAATTAGAGAGAGAGAGAGAGAGAGAGAGAGGAGGGAGGGGGAGGCGGTTGGATAATGCGGGTGGATAAAAGCAAATGGAAACACCGGCCGAATATTGTTCACGATCTTTGCGACCATCTATGGAACCGTAATTCCAGTTATTTAACCCTTTCTTCGACGTCTCGCCCGTTCGTGAGTAGAAACTGTTCCTGCAATCGAGTTCCAGTTTCTCGACTAAGGAAACGAACGAAACGATTTATATTCTTTAATATCCTGTATTAGACGGATTATTGGTACACGGATTTGTAGTTGTAGATTTATATTCATTGATGTCTCTCGTAATTTTTGAGACCAATGGATTTCGTTCAAATTTAATCTTTTCGATCTAGATTTAGGTTAAGGTGAATACACAAGAATATAGTTATTTAATATTTTAATTAAAGAGCTTAAGTTATATAGAGACATGTATAGTGTAATTACAGGTTAGATTTTTTTTTTTTTTTTTTTTAATAAGAAAATTAAAATGAAATAAATTTTAA